AACTCACTCATTGTGGAGCTGCAGCTAATTTAGCTTGCACTTGATCTATAACTTATAAGGCAGCTGTCTGTTAGCCAGAAATGTTATACTGATAGGGCATGTAGGCACTAGGTGGAAGAGAGGATTGGCAGGACCCTGTCGACCCAATCCATGAGACGCATTGGGCATGGCCTGATAAAGTTACAGTGGGGACCAGTGATGTCACAGGATGGAACCTGGATATTACCTTGAATAGCCGTGTTAGTAGTACTTCCACACATTGAGGGACTTCTTAGTCATGGCACCAAGATTATGGAACTCATCCTAAGGGATAGTCATCTTTCTAGCATTGTCTTCTACCGATGGGTGAAGACTATTTATTTATTTGAATATTTATATCCTGTCTTTTCTTGTGGTTCAAGGCAGCTTGCAATAATAGTTAAAAACATAGCAAGCCCAAAATCTCTCCCCTCTTTTAAATGATGCCTGCCACCCAACCCCCTCAAAAGCCCTTTCAAACAGGCAGGCTTTGCAGTGCCTCTAAGGAGGGGCCCCCACTCAGGGAGCCCATTCCACAGAGCTGGAACCATGATGGGAAAGGCTCAGGCTCTTGTAGATGCAAGGCCAGCCACCCTAAGTGGTGGGATAACCAACAGATGGCTGCCTGATGACCATAGCTGGTGCACAGGGACATATGGAAGATGGTTCTTCAGGTATGTGGGTCTCAGGTTAAGGTCATAACCAGCACCTTGAATTGAACTTGAAAACAGACTGGCACCTAGTGTAGCTGCTTCAAAATGGGCAGCAGGTATCCCTAGGAGCTAGCCCCTGAGAATAGTTAGGCTACCGGATTCTGGACTAGTTGCAGTTTTGGGGTTGTCTTCAAGGGCAGCCCCATGTAGTAATCCAACTGTAGTAATCCAACCTTTTTTGTTTCATCTGGCATCCCTCTCCTTTCTTCCCCAAGTTTCAAAAGATTTTTGTGTTTTTACACGTGTGTTTTAATTTAATTGGTTTGCTGACCAGTTTTATAATGTTCTCTTTTTGTTAGCTGCCTTGGTGGTCCTGATTGGGCAGAAAGGTAGGATATAAATTTTGTAAATAAATAAATAAAGTTTATGTATATACCATGTGGTATCTTTTTTTAAAAAAAAAACCCGAAGGGATATTTTTTTTATTTTGCATAAACTACAAACTACAATGAAAATTAGGGAGGGAAACTACAACTAGGGATAAAGGAAAGATAATCACACTAAACTAAAAACCCAAGAGGAGGAGATCTTATTTCTGTTAGTGTGTTAGTACTACAAGTGTTAGTATCACAATATACTTGTAGAGTTCCTGTTTATCTTCCATGTTTATATGTTACTATGTTAATTGTTATGAGAAGACTTTATGATCATCTTCATGTTCTTCGCTTCAAAAGGCCAATTTCTGAGGCCTTCTGTCTTTACTTTGGCTTTCTGTGTCTAAAATCGTAGACAACTTTGGCAGGTCCTGCACCCGTTTCTTCTGTTCCAGAGGTAGCAGAGTAACTAGATTTCGTTTCTTCCTCCTTAGACTCTTCCTCTGTTCCAAGCTGACGCTGCAAAAACTCCTTAGCCTTGAAAATGGAGTCTATCTTTTGTCGTTAATCTTAAAGATGACACCTTCTGGGATTGCCCACCTGTACGTTATTCCATTAGTTTGAAGAAAGGCAATCAAATCTTTATAATTTTTCCTCTTTTGCCGAATTTCAAATGGAATGTCTTTTAAAGTCTTGATAATTACATTTCCCATTTTCAGTGGAGTTGCTGATGTCGCTTTTAAAATAGCATCTCTAGTCTGTCTTCTTGAGAATCTCACCACAATTTCTCCAGGTAGGCCATTTTTTTTATATAGTTGGAGTATGCCCTATAGGCCACCTCCATGTCTTTTACCAGTTCATCCGCTGTGAAGCCTATCACTGGAGCGATGATCTCGCTAAGCAACTTCCTCAGGTCCTCTTTCGCTGCTTCAGGAACTCCCTGGAACCTGAGAATCATGTTGGCTTTTTCCATCTGTAATTGCAGTACTCGGTTTTCTTGGAAATTCTG